CCATCGATCGACTGGTTCTTCTCCATTGCTCACGGCCCTCTTCTCCTCCATCGATCGACAGGTTCTTCTCCATTGCTCACGACCCTCTTCTCCTCCATCGATCGACAGGTTCTTCTCCATTGCTGTTCTTCAACGATTTTTGGGTTTTTTTGATGTGTAGTTGCTGTTTTATGGTTGCTGTTGATGCTGTTTGATGTTTCCTATTGCTRTTAATTGTTGTTGGTTMAATACATARCTATAGCTACTGTTTTGTGTTTAAAACACTTGATTAAATAGTTGGTTCCATTTGGGTTTATTCAACAATTATTAAACAGTGCGTAGTTCATCCTCAAGGGGTAAATTGGTCATTTCTGTTATTCAGACTGTTGATTCAGATAGAAAAGTAAACAACAACATAAATTTATCCAAATAGACAAATTTATCCAGACAGACAAATTTATCCATGCAGGACTTAATAAAAAATTTGGTAAACAACCCCTAAATCTATATGTAAACTGTAGCATGACACGGGTAACTTACTTGTATAGAGAGAGAGAGAGAGAGTGTGTGTGTTGAAAGGCATGGTCATTGCCATGCATAAAGATATCCAAGTGGACATAGTAAATGGAATACAAATAACACTTTTACTTATTTATATTAATAAATAATTCAAAAAATAAATAATTTTTTATATTATTATTTCTACCAAAAAAATTTATTATATCATCATTATTAAAATATTATATTTATTAAATATTTTAATAATATAATTAAGAATGAATTATTTGAATTAGATATAAAAATTAAACTTATAATTCTGTGATGTAGAAAAAGAATTTATAAATGATTGAGGGGAAATTTGACAAAAAAATAACTAGTAGCTATTAAAAAAAAGAAAAAATATAATAATTATGTGGAAAATTATATAATAATTAGTTCACACCAGATCTAATTATTATAGCATGAATACTTATATTACTACTCCAGGTTGTCTCAATAAAATAATTTAAAAAAATAAAATAAAAATCATATTAAATGCAAATTGCAACATCACATTTCAAGTGCAATTTAAATTTTCTTATAGTTCCGTTATAAATAGTTATTTATCTATACTATATTATAAAATATTTAATAAAAAAATTTAAAAATCATTTTTTATACATGAAGTACTATTTATTGATGCATATTACCTAAAATTCAAGATTACAAGTAATTTTACATAAGTACAATTTATTAAAACCCCATTTTTTTAATTTGTGTAACTAACGGCAGAATCATATAATATCGACAGAGAAAAAAAATAAAAACTAAACACTAAAATCGAGATTTATCTTGCTACATTGTGCGAATACCCTTCTAATAATTGTTAAAACGTAAATAGAAAAAGCATCCACATATTTCAAAATACCACTTTGGACCATACCTAACGCTTATTTTATAATAAAATTACTAACTACGATATAATTGATTACTTATCAATAGACCTGCTTTTTGTTTTGACAAGAGTAATTAAATGCTACAAACAACTAACCGTACATACATAGGGGCAGATTTCGTTACGAGTATTAACGTTTTATATTATCAGGAATATGAATGTTAATATATTTATGATGAATTACACTTTCATATTCATCTGAATGTGTTATTCACAATGAATATATTCATTTTGAATAGAACATGTTACATGTTGGTTCTCATGTTCCTAATCAATTTTTGGTTTATAATAGAACTTTCCTCCATATGTATAAATATATATAGACGAAGGATCGTATGAAAAGAAAAGTTATGATGAGAAACGTAAGAAGAGGTCTACACCATTGATCATTTTTAATTTCATACCCATCCATAAATTGTGTTATATAAAAAAAATTGATCTGATGCATCTCAGTACACCTCACTAGTGTTGACATTCAATTAAAATTGATCTAATGGTGAAAATATTTTTAACGCTTCTCACTCTAACTTTCTTTCTAACCAGAATCCAACCATGTATATATATATATATATAAATATATATATATATATATATATATAGAAGTGATTAAATGAAAACCACTCCAATTTGTAGAAACCGTAAAAACTACTATCATCCTTCGTAATCTTATGAAATTTTTTCATGAAATTGTTTAATTTTGTAAAATTATTTCATATAATATTTTTTTTGATGAAGTTGTTTCATATATGGTTATGAAATTATTTCATATACTACTTAATGAAATTTTAATGAAACTGTTTCATGTATTTCTCTAAAATTAAAATAATAAAGATGATAATATCCATGATTAACATTCTCCACACACAAAAATGATTAATCAACCTCTTATAATTACAAAAAAATGAACAAAATGAAAAATTATGATTGATGGAATGGGGTTTTTACGGTTTTCATATATATATATATATATATATATTGGGTTGCTAGGTGGGGCAGGAGGTGCAAGTGAATAAAAATGAAAGACAAATATCGATAAATGACAAAAGTCAAAGAGCAACGCATAACTTACTCTCAAATTAATACGTAATTATAATAAAGAAAACACGTAAATATATGTTTTACGTCTTGTTTGACCAGCTTTGTCTTTTATTCTTTTTTTATACAAAATAATATTCACAAACATTTACGTTTTCAAAACAACGAAACCACTTTGCATCAAACATTTCCCATTATTCCTATTTCTTTTATCAAATCCTCATTTTCATTTCATTTTGGTAAGTATTTGATAGATATTTTTTGTGTTACACACCATTTTTTTTTATTAACATGAATATCTAACCCGCTATGCGAGTCGATTAATCTCATGACGACCACCTACTTTGCAGATAACCCGGAGTCACCGCATTTGAACTTCCGTAGTCACAAGAGAATTTTTATTCCTCATTGGATTTGAACCTGGTACTTTTGACCTTTGAAGTCAAGCTCAAACCAATCAGACACCACCCTTATAGTTATTACATACCATTTTTTGGTAACTATATCTTTGCGATTTTATTTATACATTCTTATTTTAGTTGAGTATTTAATAACGTCTTAACAAATTAACATTGTTTTAATTTCTAAGTTCTAATAAATTTAATTTAACGCGCTTCACAAATGTTTACGTGTATATATATATATATAGAGAGAGAGAGAGGGGGGGGGGGTGTTTTTGTATTATCTTTGTTTTGGGTAATTTAATTTGGAATTAACTATGTATTATAATAAAATTATATTAATATATCTATATTTGGAATATTCTTTTGTTGGTAGTATAATATATGAAGATGATTTAGTATTTACATTATCTTTTTACTATATTAGTACCAAATTTATTGTTTTATATCCAAAATTCCTTTTCAAATTTCCAATTAAACATAATTTCCTTTCCTGTCTAGGTTTCGTCTCATTTTCTTTTTAAACATAATGCTTTTATTGTCTTCAATATTCACAAAAAGACAAAAACTTAAGGTTGTTTGTTTCTGATTAATAATTCTATTAAGAGACAGCATCTGAATTATTAAGGAATGAATCTTGTTTAGTAAAAAAAAGATTATCTCTTAATGGTTCTAAAATCATCTGAATGATTTTATATCCTAGACCTTCCTTAACCATTAAGCACCCTAATTTCATCATAAACATTTACCAAACAATTATATTTTATTTTGCACTATATCATGAAAGCCTCTTAATCATTCTACACCAAACCATTCGGCAACTGTCAAACAACCCCTTAAAACATCTTCAACCAAGAACTTTTTTTTTTTGTCATTTCATTTCCAACTTATCAAATTAAGAATTTACATAAAAATTCATAATGGTAGTTCTCATAAGAATTTTTTTATGGGGGAAAAGATGTTCATAGATTGGGTTTAAAACATTTGAACAACCCAACTCAATATTTGGGATTTGAAAATTTCAACTCAACCCAAACTAAAGTGCAATCTAACCCAAACCGTATGGGTTGGTCGGGGTTGATATTTTGGTAAATCAAAATATTCTTCTATATTTGTTACCTTGAATATATTGTTTTCTCTACTCATAATTTCTTTTTATCATGAATCATTTGGTATAACTTATCCCTAGCTACTTCTTCTTAAATATATCACATTCAACTATTTTTCTCAATTCATATATATGTTCATATTTACTGAACATATATACAAAAGAGTTACACAGTGACGAATAAGAGATTGAAAATATATGTATATGAGAAGTGTACGTGATTGTGTAATTGTCTAATGTACATATTAGTGTATACTTAACAAACATATTTAATACAATAAATAAAAAAAAAATCGGGTTCATCGGGTTGGGCTTGGTTGGGTTAAAATGGCCATAACCCAATTCCAATCCAATACCTATGGTTTAAATAGCTTACAACTTGATTAGACATCGGGTTATTTTTTATTGAGTTAAAATGGGTTGGTCGGGTTGTTCGGGTTTTTGAGCACCTCTACGTAGAATATATATTTTTCCAACAATCAATAATTATTGTATATTTATAAATAAATATATTTAGTTTTAATTTTATTATTATTGATCAATTACCATATTGGAAAATGTGAATTTGAGGTATTTATTACATTTATTTTAAACATGATACATGAATGACGTATTCTTTTTATCTATTAATCTCATTTTCTAATCAAATCAATTTAATTAATTCCAACGAAAATATCACCGTCATGAACAAGAACACGAAATATTAATTAAGTCTTGTACAGATAGAACTGTCTGTATAGATTTGAAAAGTTTTGTTTGATCGGGTTTTTCCATATGTAGAAAGAACATGTATTTTTAATTGAGAGACCAGGTTTGGAAAAAACTTGACTTTATACATAAAAGTTCTTTAGAATTAATTATGCGATTTATTCATTTTAAAATTGGGATCGAGGGTAAGGATCGTGTATCTTGAATTGAGCTTGAGGGGTTAAAATGGTCATTTGAGTCTTCCTATAGAAAGTCAAAAATACAGTCCTTTAAAAAAATGTAAAATTAAAAATGGCAAAAATGAAGGAAGAAATTAAGTAAATTATATGCTTACTGAATCGGCAGGGTGTTCGCCGGCGTCGAAAGGGTTGTAGTCGCCGGAAGAGTGATAAAGAACCAAGCATGAAAGCGCCACCGTGGCAAAGATGATCACCATCTTAGGAGTTTGTTTGAACAGGTGGTGGAGGAAGAATTCCGGTGGTGGTTGTGACGACGACAGCGACGGAAATTGCTTATCTGGATGGCCGGCGGCCGCCTTGTTGTGTCCGTTGTCCAGACCCATCGGATGATTTGGCCTATGGTTTTGTTCTTTCATGTGGGGTTTTCTCAGATGAGTGGATATTTATGGGTACATATATGTGATTAAATTACAATACCAGCCCCCCATTTATTGTTAAAATTGCAGTTTTGGCATCTCAACTTTATAAAAATTCCATTTTCAGTCCAATGCAATGAATAATTTTGTAAATCACATTACGTATTACAGCATCCGTGTGTAGTGGGAAGTTTTTCAAAAATAGTTTTTTACATTAATGAATGGTTTTCCGAAAGGTATTGGTTAAATGTTGTAAATGACCTTTTTAAATTTTTTTTTTTGTATTTAATCGATTTTATTTCTTAGACTTTTTATAAAAAAATTATTTTTAATCAGTCTTATTTATTATTCTATACTATCTTATAAAACATTTGGCTAAAACTCTTAAAAACTCTTAAAACTCTTAAACTCATTCATCCCTAAACGATTTTATCCATATCCGATTTCATCCCATATCTGAATTCGTGTAACTAACTGCAAATAAACACAATCAAATACAGGATAAACATCTCATTTTAAATATAAAAAATCTAAAATATAA